AACAACAACAACAACAAAAAAAAAAAAAACAACAACAACAACAAAAAAAAAACAAATGAATGGCCTTCACATATTTGTTGTATTTAATTGAATAATGTGAAACCAAACCAGGTTAAATTCTACCTACATTCTTACCTTCTCCTCCCCAAGATGACAGAATAGAATCATGACCAGACCTGGACACAGGCCAGTGCTAGAGTGTTTGTCTCACTGAGAGATTTCTCTGTTGAAGTAAACTGTAAATTCAGGCTTTTAATCACCAGAGCATTATTTAATCTGTATTTGAAGTAAATATCGACCTCATAAAGAAGCTGAATATTTTTCTCCTGTGTAACATTTTATAGTTCATGCATTAGAATTCAATCACAAGTACTCTATTTCAGAATACCAGTATTGATTGGTAATGATGATCAAGGACTGTGTGTTTGCTAGAACTTAATTGGAAAAAAATATTGCTCCTAAACTGCTTAGCAAACAGCGCATAAAATGGTGGAGGCCAAGTCTTATACAGGTTGAAAATTTATCTGATATGCTTGGGACAAAAAGTGTTTCAGATTCTTTTCAGATTTGGGAATATTTCCATATACATAATAAAATATCTTGGGGATGGGGTCCAAGTTTAAAAACAAAGTTTATTTGTGTTTTATAGACACCTTACACATATAACCTGAACGTAATTTTATACAATATTTTTAATAATTTTGTGCATGAAACAAAGTTTTGACTGAGTTTTGACTGCAGCATGAGGCTAGACATGTAATTTTCCACTGTTTTGTCATGTTGGTGCTCAAAAAGTTTCAGATTTTGGAGCATTTTGGATTTTTGGATTTCCAGATCAGAAATGCTCAACCTGTCTAGCTCTCCTGGAAAGGCATGTCTATGAAGATACTAAGAAAAACATAGATTTTTTTTCTTGCCACTTTGTAAATTCCTAAGGGATGAATTCATTATGAAACATAGTCATGTGTCACTTAACGAAGAGATATGTTCTGAGAAATGCAGCCTCAGGTAATTTCATTGTTGTGTGAATCACAGAGTGTGCTTACACAAACCTGGGTGTGTACTTTTACTACACACCTAGGCCATCAGGTACAGCCTATTGCTCCTAGGCTACAAACCTGTATAGTGCATTACTGTCTGAATGCTGTAGGCAACTGTAACATAGTGGTATTTGTGTGTCTAGACATATCAAAACATAGAAAAAAAGCACAGTATAAACATGTTATTATAATCTTAAGGGACTACCATCACATATGTAGTCCATTGTTGACCAAAACATTAATATAAGGAATGAAAGGAACTTTCAAATGTATGTAAATGCCATTTGCCTCCTTTGTTCCCACTTTATAGTAAAGTTACATACTTTTCTACAGTAGAGCCAGGAGGTAACTATATAATCTTCATAAAGTTCTCTTTTGTTTGAAACAAAGTAATATTACAGATAAAGTGCCAAGTAAAATATTTTATGTGAACATGCTATGGTTATCACAAGAGTAATCGAATAGAAACACACTTTGACCTGATTTTACATATTACTAGTGAATCTGAAAAGCTGCTAATTATTGATATTGAACCTTTTTTAGAATCAAGTTTATATAATTTTAATCTTATACAGACTGAGGTCCCATTGTAACTGCTCTTCATTGATGACCAATTTTTGTCCTATTTTTAGTAAATTTACTTTTAAAAGAACCACAGAAAACACTTTTGTAGTTTTACTGGGGTGTGGAAGGAGGTTTTTCATACTTCCCCTTTGGAAAAAAACAAAATTGAAAACACATAAAAGCAAAACGATTACAGTATAGTATCATTTTGTTGTTGTTTGTTTGTTTGGGTACAACTACGCTAAAGGACATACATGTAATCATGGGCTAAAGACCATATGTGTAATCATGGGCTAAAATTGGAGCTTCCAACCACTATCCCCTAAGTTTGTGGCTTGGTATGGACAGCAGAAAGAGATGAAGTTCCAGATTCTACACTTAGGAACATTCACAGACTTCACAGGCCTTTTTCGGGCCTATCGCTATTGGGCCCTGATTTGGTCATGCTTACTAGGTAAAGGCAGGGCAAATAAAGATGATGGGCTCTATACTCTGCTTGGGGCAGGAGGGAGTTAGGGGTGGGGAGAGAGAGGGTCAGAGAGAAAGAGAGAAGAGAGAGAGAGAGAGAGAGAGAGAGAGAGAAACTTGAGCTACACATAAACCTTTATAGCAATTGTGCCAGAAAAGAAACTTTTCAGGTAGAAGCACACGAGAAAACAGAATGAGCAGCTGGGTGTGGTGGCTCATGCCTGTAATCCCAGCACTTTGGGAGGCCAAGGTGGGTGGATCACCAGAGGTCAGGAGTTCAAGACCAGTCGCCCAACATGGTGAAACCACATCTCTACTAAAATTACAAAAATTAGCTAGGTGTGGTGGCACATGCCTGTAATCCCAGCTACTCAGGAGGCTGAGGCAGGAGAATTGTTTGAACCTAGGAGGCAGAGGTTGCAGTGAGCTGAGATTGTGCCACTGCACTCCAGCCTGGGTGACAGAGCAACACACCATCTCAAAAGTAATAATAAAAGAAAAAAGAATGAGCAAATTTGGTTTTTCCCCTTAAAACTAGATGTCAGAACTTTCTATTTTTTGGGTAATGCAAGTCTACCCAAAGTTATAAAATTAGCCCTATATTTGTTTAACTAAAAATATGATTTTATGTTATGAAATCTAGAGAGTTAGAAAAAATTTAATTTTTTAATATTATAATTAAATACCTCTATAAAAATTAAACCTAGAGAATGAGTTAGAAATAATTATATAGATATGTATATATATGCATATATACAAATATATATTTATAATAAAATACTTATATTGAAAACAATTATGGTTATATTACAATAAAAAATCACTGCCTACCCAGTCCCCACCACTGTCCTCCATCAAACCCCAATGTCTGTTTGTGGTTCCTCCTGTCATGGCAGAGAGGCAACTGGAATTCTGCCTGGGATAAGGTGAAGACGATTAATGGTACCTTCCTATCTCAACCTCTGTTCACTGCAGTGGTTGATACAGAGATCCTTCCGCCTGGCTTAAGAGGGGTGTGATCAAAGCTAGAACTGTATCCTCTCTGTGGGAAACTTAAATATTGAGTACAGTAAGACAAAGAGAGTAAGAAAAATGAAATGGATAGAATGTATTCATTTCAGTGGCTCACAATGATCAGACAAAATAGTGAATTACTGCTTGCTGTGCTGTTAGATTCTAAATTTCATACTTCCACATGCTGGCAGAGCCAGTGAACTCTCTAATATCCATAAAATAAATTTCCTTTTGCTTAAGCCAGAGTCGGTTTCCGTTGCTTGCAGCCAAGGACCTCAAATAATGTACTACCAGGGAATTATTTCTTATTGCTTTGAGTCATAGGACAAGCTATTAGGCTGGTTCAAAAGTTATTGTAGTTTTTAAAACACATTAACAGTAATGGCAAAACTGCAATTACTTTTGCACCAACCTAATAGAAACTATTATATTAATGGACAGTACACTTAGGCTCAAGTCCACTGAGAAGCATCAGAAACCTCAAGACAAGGACTAGAATCAAAGAGTTTGCTTCTGCAAAAGCATTGATGTTAAAATTTAGTATATAGGGTCTAGAAAAAGAGAATGGAGAAAAACAAACCAAAAAAGTTTTTAAGAGTTGTATTTCCACAGAAAACTAAGCTTGACAAAGTACTGGATTTTCAGTTGCTAAGGTCTTCCCAAGTCTCACAAACTATAAGAGAAAGATTATAAAATGGGTTGGTCTTCAACACTATCTGAGATGTAGGTGGAAGTCAAAGAGAGCAGAATGGAGTCAGTCCCCCAGTTACATTTTGGGTCTGTAGGCAGGCAATAAGTGCTTCTAGTACCAACTTCTATATCAGTTAGGATCGTTTGGTTGCAAGCAACATAAACCAACAATAATTAAAGAAATATGGGAAATTTATTGGAAGAATAAGATATACAGAATTGATAGGATGCTGAAAACAGGACAGGAACCAGGGCAGTAGAATCTGGAATGTGTGAGTACTGAACCTAGTCTTTCACATTAACTCCAAAATCAGCAGTGAGAAGTGCTTCCCTGTGTCAAAGTTCCTCTTTATGACCTTTGTTTTAGGTACTTTTAATCTATCTGCCCAGCTCCTAGTCATGAGAATTCTCCTTCTCTTGGAGTAATCAGCAGGGATGTCCCTTTCAGCCACATTTATATCATCTGATCACTTTCAAGACCATGGTTAGTTGAATAGAGACCAACACCTGAAACAAGCTGGGCCAATCACATTCTCTTTCCCAGGAATTTAGAATTTGAACTAAAAGATATACTGGAAATCATCAATTGTGTCATTAAAGATAAAACTAGCCACAAATTCCTGCTTCTGAGGAAGCTGCTACTTTCCCTGACTTCCTCATTCTAAGAGTCTAGTGGTTCAGCATTTCCTTGGATTCCATGAGATATTATAATAGGTTTCTAATACATTTCTCCTTTCTACTACTTACATTTGCATGTGTCAGCTTATTTCACTCTTACTTGAGAGACCCCTAATCAATACACTAGTGAAAGTCCTCATTGCAAGGATAAGTATTGAATTTGAGAATTATGTACAATTAGAGTAAACTTGGAAGCCATTTTTCTTTAGGTATATTCTTGAATAGGTCCTAATCCCAGCATAGAGAGTGGCCTGTTAATAACTAAACACTGAAGGCTCCAAGGCACAGACTTGCAACATTAAAAATAAACAAATCCAGGTATAACGCATGCCTGCAATTAGCATTCTAATCCTAAAGAAAGATAATTTAAGGATTATCAACTTGACCCTGCCGGTAACTAATATTTTTCAGAGAAATTTTCTTCTAGACTAGGTCTTTATAACTGACCATTTAAAGCAAGAAAACCCTGAGAGTATATACATAATTAGTGATAACCGTGGCCCATAAAATCTTACGCAAGAGGTATTATCCCACAAAGAGCTGTACCTTTGATCAGAGAGGCTGAAGTTAATGATCATTATCTGCGTAAGAGCATTGGAGCATCCCAGGTGTTTTCCTCCTCTCCTGTAGAAAATAAGGAATCCAGGAAGAGCCTCTCACCCCCACCCACCAGCCAAAGAGACTGATGTAAATATAAGTCTCGTAAATGTAAGTATAAACCTTGAGTCTGCAGAACACTTTATTTGTGAACCTGTTGTGTCTACAAAGTGGGTGGAGCTTCTAAATTTTGATGTGGTTAAACCCATATTGTACCAGATTCAGTATTTCCTGCTGTGCTAGCTGGAAATAACAGCAACCAATTCCAGTTAGGTTAACCTAAAGATTAAAATTATTACAAAGAGCTTCTGCACAGCAAAAGAAACTATCATCAGAGTGAACAGGCAACCTACAGAATGGGAGAAAATTTTGGCAATCTACTCATCAGACAAAGGGCTAATGTCCAGAACCTACAAAGAACTCAAACAAATTTACAAGAAAAAAACAAACAACCCCATCAAAAAGTGGGCAAAGATATGAACCAGAACATTTCTCAAAAGAAGACATTCATACAGCCAACAGACACATGAAAAAATGCTCGCATCATCACTGCCATCAGAGAAGTGCAAATCAAAGCCACAATTGAGATACCATCTCACACCAGTTTAGAATCGCAATCATTAAAAAGTCAGCGAAAACAACAGGTGGCTGGAGAGGATGTGGAGAAATAGGAACACTTTATCACTGTTGGCTGGGATTGTAAACTAGTTCAAACCATTATGGAAAAACAGTAGCGATTCCTCAAGGACTAGAAATAGAAGTACCATAAGACCCGTCATCCCATTATGGTATAAACCCAAGGATCATACAATCAAAAATGCTGCATAAACACATGCACACGTATGTTTATTGGGCGACTTTCACAAATAGCAAGACTTGAACAACGCCAAAGCCATCAGTACAGACTGGATTATAGAAATTGCGGCACATATACCACCATGAAACATATGCACGCTCATCAAACAAAGGGATAGTTTCGTGCCTTTGTAGGACATATGCAAGCTGGAAACCATACAATTCTTAGCAAACTGTCGCAACAGCACACAGAAACCAAACACCTGCATCGTTCTCACTCATATGCAACGAACCAATGAGATCACTTGGTTCGGCGAAAGGGGAACATCACCACCACCCGGGGCCATAATCCAAGGAAGGGAGGGGGGAGGATGCCAGTTAGGAGGTTAAAAAACACCGGATTAACATGACGAGTTATGGTGCGCACCAGTTGCTTCAGTGCATCACACCACATGCGCACCAGTCATACGATACTGTAAACCAATACCTGCCACCATAGCATAGTACCCGCTCTAGCACTTAAATATAATACACTAATTTTAAAAAATTATCAGACAATTAAAAAAAAAGAGAGAGTTCAGAATAGGTTAAAGGCAAGTATGCTGTTGTGGATCAGGTAAAAACTGGAACCACAAATTGAAAGCCTTCTGGAACTTGAAGTATGCTGTCTCCATCTTTCTTTTTTGTTTTCTCTGTGTGTCATGAAAGAGCCTAAGTAGCTCACCCACGTTCACTTAACTAGCTTGTAATAGAGCTGAAACTGAAACAAATACTGCATGATCTCATTCATATGTGGAATCTAGAAAAGTTGCTTTCAGAATTAGAGGGTAGAAGATGCTTCCCAGAGTTATGGGTGGCTAAAAGGCAGCAGGGATGGGGTTGGTCAAAAGATATACAATTACAGTTAAGTAGGAGGAATATTTTAAAATGTGTCCAGAATAGACAAATTTATAGAGGTAAGAAGTAGATAAGTGATTGCCTGGGGTGAGTGTGTAGGATGGGGTAGGGAGAAGAGGATAGATGGGGAGGGAGGGATCACTACTAATGGTTATGGTGTTTCTTTTTCCTGTGATGAAAATGTTCTCAAATTGATCATGGTGATGCTTGCACAGCTCTGCGAACATAAGAATCATTGATTATACACTTTAGATGGATGAATTGTGTGATACATGAATTATGTCTCAATAAAGCTGTTTTTCAAAAGAATAAAACAATACTAATAAATTCTCCAAGTCTTAGCTTTCTCATCTTTAAAAAAAAAGATAGTAATTGTTTGTCCCCCAGGGGAGATACAATTTACGAATGAAAATTTACAAATGCTTATGAATGCTGTGAGAGTTAAATGAGATAGCACACATCCAAAGTGCACCAGTCCATGGTAAACCTTTGCAGGGTAGTAGCTATCAGTATCACTATTCTCATGTCAGTCCTCTAAACAACTCTGCCATCCCATCTCCAGTTCAAAACACATACACTACAGCTTTGAGGATTCTCAAAGCAGGGATCTTTATATTGATAAAAACAATCTTTTAGTGTTTTTGTGGAGGACGAGGTGAGGTAAACAGACAAATTGACATTCATTTTGCCTTAATCCAAGTGTCAAAGTCTGGCTTCCCAAAGAGAACGGCCAGTATTCTGGGGGCAGCTGTCAAATCTTCCCAATTTACACAGATGCAACAGCACCTGCTGAATTAACCTATGGCATTTACCAAAGCCAACCCCTGCCAAAAACAAATCTCTCTCCTCCTGGTATACTGAATAAGAGACAGGGATGCATTAAACATTTACGAAGACACTTCAAGAGAGTCTCAGGTAACAAGAAGTGTTCTGAGATTGATTTGCCACGCTTTGAGTGCACAGAAGACAGAGGGAGACACACAGGGAATGTTCCCGAGACTTTTTCTTTTCAATCATCCTCCTCTGTGACTTCTACCCTATAATTTATTTTTAAAGAGGCATCATAGTTTTCTGGGTGCCATAACAAAATCTAAAATAAATGTTTTCACCGAGATAAGCACTATTAAAAGGAAAGGATACTGAATTCATTTGAATACATTTGCGGAAGATTGATTTTCCCAAGGGAATGTACCTATCCTATTTCTTTAATTATTCTTGAAGTTTTGCCTATCAACTGACAATTTCTTACAGAAAGGAAGCAAAACAGCCTGGCTTTCCTGACAGCAAATAATTATAATAATACTAGAATAAAAACGGGTTTGTCACTTTCCTTATCTCTTCTAATGTCTGAGTTACTGGGAGTCAGAAATGTAATAACCCCATCCCAGTAACACAGTTATTCAGAATATGTTAAATTGAAAGGTAAATTCAAAGTCAAATTTCTCTAGTTTTTGAAGATCAGTATACTCATTCCTAACCACAAGCACCCAGTATGATTAGTTATACAACATTAGAGAAAATGTGGTCATATTCACTTTATTTTTTCAACTGATCATCACTTGATTAGAGAGAAGCCTGTTTTATTTCATATGACTTAGTCCCAGCAACAAAACTGTTTACTTAAGCATAGGAAGGCCAACCTTTGTACTCAAAGAGAACTGAGAAGTTTAAACAGCCCATGATTTTCATTGTTTTGGCTTCTGCTGTAAAGCATCACTGTGAAAAATTGGTCCTGATCCCAGCAATCGATGCTTTCCCACTGCATAGGGATGGCCTGGCGTTATCGTGCCATTGTGGCTGCTAAGGGCAGGGTTCCTTATCAATGCATAATGGCCAGAACAAGCCCTCCCCAACCCTGCACTAAGGGCAGGCCCCCAGTCCCAAATCATTTCCCCATCTTATTCCAGTTCCTCTATGGGAGCTGTGGTTTCTTTCTGTGGTTGAATATGGTTCAGCTCTTCCTGAACCTGGTCCTCCCCCAAAATAATTAACTGTTGGAGAGTGGTGGTCGTTGGACAACATTGTGAATATAAAATACCACTGAATTGTACATTTAAATGGGAAATGTTATGCTATCTATATTTTACTACAGAAATTATCTCTAATGTGTATTCCCAGGTAGCAGAGAGGTTGTCTTCTCAGAGGACCCTGAGCTGCCCTTTTCAGCAGCTCCACCACCTCTGTATCTTTGCATGCTAACAAAGACTTTTTTTTTTTTTTGAGACGGAGTCTTGCTCTGTCGCCCAGGCTGAAGTGCAGTGGCGCGATCTTGGCTCACTGCATAGGAAGGCCATAGGAAGCACAGGAACCTCCACCTCCCAGGTTCAGGCAACTCTCCAGCCCAGCCTCCCAAGTAGCTGAGATTATAGGTATGCGTCAACACGCCCAGCTAAGTTTTGTATTTTTAGTAGGGACAGGGTTTTGACATGTTGGCCAGGCTTGTCTTGAACTCCTGACCTTAGGTGATCTGCCCTCCTCAGCCTCCCAAAGTGCCAGGATTACAGGCACGAGCCACCATGCCTGGCCAACAAAGACTTCTTGTGCTAATCACAGATGTACCAAATGAAATTGTCCCTTTATGCCCTTTCCCTTCTCCGTCAAGGGATGAAATATAATTTTCCTCTCCTTGAATCTATGTAGACTTATGACACACTTGACATCAATCAAATGTAGCAGATATGATGCTAGACAACTTCTGAGGCTCAATGATTACAAACAATTAATTCATCTTCTTTCTCACTTGCTTGAACTCCCACATTGGATCTCTGAACTGCAATTGCAGCAGTTCAACTGCCCTGCAGTCACCACGCTGCAAGAAAGCCCAGACTAAAGCACACAAGGAGACCCATAGAGAAACACTAAGACTGCATGAAGAGCCAGAGAGAGGCGCAGCCCTCTGTTCCAGCTTCTGTCGCCGTCTGACTGCAACTTATGAAACCCACAGCTAGAACTACATAGTCAAATTCTTCCCCAGTTCCAGAGTGGCTGAAACCATGAGGTAATAAAATAATTATTATCGTTTTTGATGCATAAATTGTTATGTAGATATAGATAACTGGAACTGAAAGTGGAGTGCCATAATATATATCAGAAATATGTGACTTTGGGTTTGGGATCAGACAAAAGCTGGAAGAACCCTGTGAACTATTAACAAAAGCCTAAAGGGCCTGGAGAAAAACTTAACGGAATTTTAAAAGGTCTCAAGGAGGCTGTCAATCAAAACCCGGAGGAAAGTGAGAACATTATCAGAAGGTTAAGGAAAAGATATCCTTTCATGCAGTGACAGAAACCTAAGCATAACTGTCATCTGAGGTAACATGGAAAATAGACAATGTATGTAATGAACTGGGTGATCTATCTAAGGAGATTTCCAGGCAATGTTGAGATGCCTGCCTAGTTTCTTTCAGCCATTTATAATAAAATGAAGAGAAAGACATGAACTAAAAAACAAATTATTCAG